GGTTTTCAGGCGATGCCCATATGAAGTTGTAGTGAGGTCACACTGGGAACTGCAGTACAAGTCCTGAAAGGAGCCACTTTTCCGCTCAAAGCACGCGCCACATGGGTTTATGGTTTTGTGTTGAGTGGTGGCACACGGTTGAAATCAATTGAAGACGCCGTTGAGAAATTTTGTACACTAACTATCTGGCCTGGTATTAGGCACTTCCCGCAGCCTCCCGCCTAAAAATCCAAGCGTATACTTCCATCGATACCCCGACCCAAAGGGTGTTACGGTCTAGGGAACCAGAAAGTCTGAAAACTGAAAATGATTTGTTCTTGCCCAATGGCTCAAGACGCGTGCATCTTGTGGTTCCGGGTTTACTGTATTCCCCTCCCCTTACTAGTTATGCCCCCAACACCTAATAATGGATATTCACCCCATTATAGGGGGGGGGGGGGGGGGCGGTGCGGTGCTAAAGTCCTTTTCCCGAAAGCACATAAGCCCATCAACGCCAGCGCCTTTCGCGGCGCTTTCGCGTGTGCGCACTAAAACTCTCATTTCGGATCATGTTCGTTCAGAAGCAACCTTATTCAGAACATCGTGTGCCAACCTCGGCAACTGAACATGAGCCATGCATCAAGATCTTTCGCCGACATTTGCAAAGCTTTTGCAAGTCTTTCGCGTGCCAAGAAAAACTGGCATTCCATGTTGCGAACTTGCGATGACACATACAAAGCAAAGGTTTTAGCACACCTCTTATATAATCGCATCGCAGTGACGAATGTCTTTTAGTGGCGGTGTCGCGGCGGGGGGGGGGGGGGGGGGNNTGGCGGGCACTACACGGTTTTGTGTTCGCGCTCGAGGGCTGGGAGTGTATATTATGTCAGTCACCCTCTTTTCTTTCTGTCACAGTCGAAGGATTACTTGAATGTTCGGGGCAAGCATAACGTGCTTTTGACATTAGTTGAGAACTCACTTAAAGGCCGCCTAGGCACGGCCACATTAGGGATATAACTACAAGCATCATCTCCCTAGACTCTAACCCATATGCCCTAGACGCTAAACCCTCAACCC